GGAGGAGGACTGCAAGAGGACGAGTGGGGGAGGATGGGCGGAGGAGGGAATGGAGAAGGATGAAACCAGCTCGGCATCGGTGGGGCAGCAGGTGGAGGGGGAGGAGAAGGAGGACAGCTGGCGGGAAGGAACAAGCGCGGGATGGGGCAGGAGAAGGGCGATGAGGGAGAGGATGACGATGGATGACGATGGATGCGGAGGAGGAGGAGGAGGAGGAGGAGGAGGAGGAGGAGGAGGAGGAGGAGGAGGAGGAGGAGGAGGAAGGAGGTGAAGGAGGACGAGGGATTGAAGAGGAGGAGGGAAGCGGAGAGGAGGAGGAGAGGTGCTGAGGAGGAGGAGGACTGCAAGAGGACGAGTGGGGGAGGATGGGCGGAGGAGGGAATGGAGAAGGATGAAACCAGCTCGGCATCGGTGGGGCAGCAGGTGGAGGGGGAGGAGAAGGAGGACAGCTGGCGGGAAGGAACAAGCGCGGGATGGGGCAGGAGAAGGGCGATGAGGGAGAGGATGACGATGGATGACGATGGATGCGGAGGAGGAGGAGGAGGAGGAGGAGGAGGAGGAGGAGGAGGAGGAGGAGGAGGAGGAGGAGGAGGAGGAGGAGAAGGCAGGACGAGGGATGAAGAGGAGGAGGAGGCGGAGGAGGGGAGGAGGAGGATCAGGGAGAGAGAGGAGGAGGGAGAGGGGGAGGAGGATTCTGCTGAGGTTGAGGTGCAGTTCTCAGGCTTGCATCTCCAATGACAGTGTCTGTCTTGCAAGAACCCTGTTCCATCGGCAGCCATTACAGGTGTGCGTATGTCTTTGAGGAGGTGCACGACCAACTCCGTTGACATATGGTGGCCACGTCGGCCGCAGTATCCTCCTCCTCCTCCTCCTCCTCCTCGGATCCTCCTCCTCTCCTCCTCCTCCTCCTCGCTCCTCTTTTTCCTCCTCCTCCTCCTCCTCCTCCTCCTCCTCCTCCTCCCGCACCTCCTCCTCCTCCCATCCTCCTCCTCCTCCTCCTCCTCCTCCTCCATTTCTGCCATCCTCCTCCTCCTCCTCCTCCTTCCTCCAATCGACCCTCCGGGACTCCTTCCGCTTCCTTTCCTTCTTGGCGTTTCTCTCCCAGCGTCGAGGCCGAAAGGGGTCACTGTTCGGACCCCGCTGTGCCCGCGGCTGCCCCCGATCCCTGCCCCCCCGCGTCTGGGCAGGTGGTGGCGGGCGGCCCCCTTTACTCCTTCTGCCCCCCTTTCGCCTCCCTCCACCCCTCTCCTTCCTTCCCCCTCCTCCCCCTCCTCCCCTCCTCCCCCCTCCTCCTTCCTCCTCCTGCTCCTACCTCCTCCTCCTGCTCTTCCTCCTCCTCCTCTCCTCCTCCTCCTCCTCCTCCTCCTCCCCTCTTCCTCCTCCTCCTCCTCCTCCTCCTCATCTTCCTCCTCCTCCTCCTCCTGCTCCTCCTCTTCCTCTTCCTCCCCCTCCTCCTCTTCCTCCTCCTCCTCCTCCACTCCCGCCCGAGGAGCGGCTGGTGCTCGCGCGGCTGATGGCCATCCCCCCGGGGGTGCTGAGATGCCGGCTTCCCTGGCCGTGCCGACCGCCTGTCGTGCCCGCCAGCCGAGTTCAGGATTCGAGTGTCGACGATCAATGATTAGTTCCCGTCAATTTCGGCTCTTCGGGGTCAGGTTTCAATTTCGGGCCCAGAGATCCCCATGGATGGATCCAGCTCAAGACGCTGCGTTCTTTTTGACTACGTCGTGTGTCGTTTTTTGAGGCCTCGGGGGTCCGCATTTGAGCACCCCCGCCTCTCACGCGCGACGACAACTGCGCCAGGCACCACGACATACTGAACCTGGCTCGGCAGAACCAGTGGCTCGAGGCTCGCGTTCTTGAGTGAGCTGGCGGCCCGCAGAGGGGCTGGGGCGAGGGGGTTCGGCCTCGTGAGGAGGCGGGGGGGTCCCAGAAGGATTTTCAAAAGGCAGAAGGGCCGTCGGCCCACGAGAAGCCCCCCTGCATTCTCAGCAGGCCTCCCCCCCTGGCCCCCGAGGAGGAGGAGGAGGAGGAGGAGGAGGAGGAGGAGGAGGAGGAGGAGGAGGTGGAGGAGGAGGAGGAGCAGGATGAGGAGGAGGGAGGAGGAGGAGCCGGATGAGGAGGAGGAGGGGGGATGAGGAGTATGGGAGGAGGAGGACGAGGAGGAGGAGGAGGAGGAGGAATGAGAGGAGGAAGAGGAAAGAGGAGGAGGATGAGGAGACGAGAGATGGGAGGCGGTATCCAGTGGGTTTCGTCCCTCGGACGAGGACGAGGACGAGGAGGAGGAGGAGGAGGACGAGGAGGTGGACGAGCAGGAGGAGGAGGAGGACGAGGAGGAGGAGGACTAGAGAGATGAGGATGCTGAGGAAGAGGAGGTGGTGGAGGAGGAATAAGAAGACTAATATTACTAATACGAATACTATGATTCAGACGTCTCATTCTACTGATACGAATAATGACAGTATGAGTATGCATCATAATACGATTAATACAAGTCGTACTACTAATACTGTTACTAAGGATACTATACGAGTGTGAAAAATAGTATCGCTAGAATACTCATGCTAATGCGACGAACAGTAAACATCATACGACCATTACTAATACTGACAATGATAACAATTTTAATACTATCAATATTAATAGTATTAATACTAATAGTAATAGTAATACTAATACTAATACTAATACTAATACTAATACTAATACTAATACTAATACTAATACTAATACTAATACTAATACTAATACTAATACTAATACTAATACTAATACTAATACTAATGCTAATACTAATACTAATACTAATACTAATACTAATACTAATACTATACTAATAAAACATACTGCTGATAGTAATAGTAGGCTAACAATAAGAAGCGTATGAATAAGGATACGGGAGGAATCATAGGAGGAAGAGGAAGAGGAGGAGGAGGAGGAGGAGGAGGAGGAGGAGGAGGAGGGAGGAGGTAGGAGGAGGAGGAGGAGGAGGAGGAGGAGGAGGAGGAGGAGGAGGAGGAGGAGGAGGAGGAGGAGGAGGAGGAGGGAGAGGAGGGAGGGTCGCGCGCCGCGCGCCCCGCTGGCCCCACCCCCCGCGCCTGCCGGGGGGGGCAGGGGCCGCTGGCATCCGGCGCGGCTCCCGGAGGTCCCGAGAGGGCCCTCCAGGCTGCTCCGAGGCTGCTCCGAGGCTGCTCCGAGGGCCCGAGAGGGCCCCGAGGCTGCTCCGAGACGGAGTTTGGCTTTCCGTCTCTGCCGGGCGTGCGCCCAGGATCGACGGCCAGATCCGAGCGCTACTCTCGCCGATCCACGGTTCGGGCAACCCGATGGGCGGCGGGGGGGGGGTTCGGAGTTCGTCGAGCACGCGGCGGAGTCCGAGCTCAGCCCCCACCTCCCGTGGACCCAGGAGAATCGATGGTTGGTGGGGGTAATGTTCGGCTGTCGCCACCCACAGGAGTCACGTTTGGGGAAGATAGGCTCGGGGGTGGATGCATCCACCCCCAATCGCCCGTTGGTCGCAGATGGGGGCGTGATAGCCCACCCCGCACAGGAACTTTCGGATTTGCAGTCTGGAGCGTATCGCCGATCCATCGGCGATGCATCGCCGATTCCAGCTCAAAGGTCCTCCCCCTGAGCCAGGCCCCCCCAATCTTTCCCCCTCATGCACAGCTGGGTCATTGTCTCGTCAGTTCGTCGCGTTCGCTCCCGTTCGTGTGGCGCCTGCAGGTGCGACTTGTTGCCTGTCGTGTTGGCCGATCGCTGCCTCAGCTTCCCCTCCTCCTTTCCCAACAGCGTGCGTTGAAAATGAATGGGCAATAACCGACTGATCTGAGGTGTTCCCCGACCCCTCAAAGATGTGTCGCAAATGCCAAGATTTTGTGAGCGCCGTATTTGTGTTTGAAATCGTTTTTCCCTTCTCTCCGTATCGGTTTTCGAGTGACCAGTGAAACCTGAAGAGGGTGCTGATATGGTCGACTATTTTCTGGACTCCCTTCTCCTCTCCTTGTCTCCTCTCCGTTTCCGCCTCTCCTTTCTCCTCCCCCTTTTCCCTTCCCAGTTCGGCTTCCCCCCCTCCCCTCCCCCTCTCTCTCTATATGCCCCCGCCTCCTTCCCCCTCCCCTTCCTCTTCCTGCCAGTCCCCCCCCTCTTCCCTTCCCGTCCCTCTCCTCGCTTTGGGCACAAGACGGTGCAGGAAGACACTGGAGTCATCGAGCTGCTCTGCCGCCTGCACCAGAAGTTGTCGAGCTCCCTGAACGATAGCGCGGAGGGAGGGAGGGAGGTGGATGGGGATGTTCGAGAGGGGAGGGAGAAGGAGAGGAGAGTAGCGGATTGGAGGGAGGGATATGGAGGTGGAGTCAGTGCAGTGGAAGGGGCCGTGATTCTCGAGAGGGGGCGGGAGGGGAGGTGGACGGGTAGAGGAGGGAGGGGAGGGGCAGAGTGAGAGTGAGGGGCGGGGGCAGTGGAGCGGGGCAGGGGAGGACCCTTCGTTGGTGCGGATGTTCGAGATGCTCGTGGGCGCCATGCGGACGGGGAAAAGTCGACCAGGACCTCTGGCCAAGATGCCCAGGGGTCAGGTCCTGGGTCCCGGAGGCGCTCAGCATGGGTGTCCAGAAGTTCCAGGGGTGCCGGAGTTTTGTGGGGGGAGGACCCCCCCGCCTTCCCTGCATAGTTCAATGAAACAGAGTATGTTTTGTTGTTGGATGCATCTCTCTCTCTCTCTCTCTTTCTCTCTTTGTCTCAATTTTTTTGTTGTTTTCTCGGTGTTTGTTGCGTTTGTATTTTCTTCTCCCTCTCTCTCTCTTTTTATTGCCATTCCTCGTTTTTTGTTTCTCTATCTCTCTCTCCCTCTCTCTCTCCGACTCTCTCTCCCTCTTTCTCCCTCTCTCGCCCCTTTCCTCCATCCCTCTCCTCCCTAGCTTCCTCCTCCCCCTCTTTCCTTCTCCCTTTGTTCCTGTCCCGATTTCTCCCCTTCTCCCTCTCCCTCCCTTCCCCTTCTCTCTCTCTCTCTCGCTCTCCCTCCGTTGTCTTGCCATTGTGGTTGCTTTTTTCGCTGTCCGCCATCAACCTCCTGGCCGCGCCGGAGAAGTGTGGCTGCTCAGGTGGCCTGGCTGCACCTCGCATTTCAGCGTGCATGACGCCTCGTCAGCGCACAAAGGACCCCACTTCAGCATTCAGATGAGGACCACTGCCACTCTGTCTTACCCCCCACTCCCATCATGCGTGGCGGCTGGACTTCGATGCGGGGCGGCATTGCTTCCACGCGCCTGACTGTGCCTCGAGGGCCTCGTGGACACAACGGTGCGACCCCCTCCGAAAAGCCAAGGGATCGCGCAATCGGGCGCCACATAATATGCACCACCTCGCACGCGGCATCGGGCACGCAACAAGAACACTGCATTAGGCACATGGCACCATGCACGTGGCTCGTGGCATCCTGCACGCGGCACCATGGGCTCGAGGCGCGCTTCATGTCAGCATCCGACGCTGTGCGGAACGGTTGCAGCAACGCTTACTTCGTCGCGGAACCGAAATCGTCCGCTGGCGAACGTCGCTCGAGCCGCTCCCCTGCTGCTGCTCCCCACAGGGCGCCAGGAGGGTGGAGGGGGTGCATGGCATAGATGGGCTTGGTCCCCAGAGGCCTACGCCTACGCTGACGCCTACGCCGACGACAGATGTCGACGGCGCCGACGCCGGAGCCGCCGAGGCCGCCGACACCGACGCCGACGCCGACGCTGACGCCGACGCCGACGACCACGGAAGTTGAGAACGACCGACGACGACGACGCCGACGACGCCGACGCCGACGACGACGCCGACGTCGACGCCGATGCCGATGCCGATGCCGACGCCGATGCCGACGCCGACGCCGACGCCGACGCCGACGCCGACTCCGACACCGCCGCCGCCGCCGCCGCCACTGCTGCCGCCGACGACGACGACGACGGCGACGACGACGACGACCCCGCGCCGCCCACTCGTAGAGCTCCGGCGTGAGCAGGGGCAGGGGCGAAACGACGATCGCTCAGCCAGGTGGGTACGGCAAGATCCACCGCCTCTTCGCCCTGATCGGGGATCCTCGGACGGAGGACGCCCAGGAGCTGAGAGCCAAGTTCTCTAAGAAGGAGTTTGCGGCGCAGGCCATCTTCGACTCCAGCCTCGGCGCAGCTAAACCCACGGGGATACTGGGGGTTCGGTTTCCTTGTCCCCCGCTTCCTTTCCCGTCCCCGTTCCTGTGTCTTCTCCCCTCCTCTTCCCTTCCTCCTCCTCCTCCTCCTCCTCCTCCCATCCTCCTCCTCTCTCCTCATCTTCTCTCCTCTCCTCCTCTCCTCTTGGGTCATGTTTTAGCCAGTTCCCCTCTTCCTGTCTGTTCCCGTACCCATTCTGTCCATGTTCATGCTCATCTTCCTCAAACTTGCCCTCCACCTTAGTAGAGGGAGGAGGGGGAGGAGTGGGAGGAGTCTAAGGCAGAGAAGGAGATGACGAGGAGGACGAGACAGTAGGGCGAGGCAGGCGACACTGGGGAGAAGGAGGCGGAAAAGGAGGACGCGAGGAGGAGGAGGCTCAGGAGGCGGAGGAGGAGGAGTCAGGGGTGGATCACGATGACTACGACGTCGAGGAGGAGGAGGAGGATGCAGAAATGGAGAATGAGAAGGAGGAGAAGGAGGAAAGCATACGACAAGAACGAGGAGGAGGATGAGAAGGAGATGGAGGAGGTGAGGTAGAAGGAGGCGGTGGAGAAGGAGGATGAGTCAGCAGAGGGTAATGATTATGAGTACGACGATGATGTCGATGGCAATGCTCCTGCAGATAGTGACGATCCTGA